CCCCACATCCCCATCCATGTCCATCCCCATCCACGTCCACATCCCCACATCCATCCCTATCCACACCCCCTCCTCCTCCTCCATCCACACCCCCATGCCCACCCCTGCCCCATCCTTCCCCCCTCCACCCCCATCCTGCACACAGCCCGGATAACCTCAGCCAGGTGCAACGTCCTTTTTACTTTAGCAGCAGCACGACGAGCGACAACCCACCCAAACCCCACGTTACAGGGCAGCAGGGCCCTCAAACTCACCGCTCAGCGCTGACGTTGTGTTCTCCAGGGCATGGCACACAGCCACCAGCATGCCTGCGGGCAGACGGACAGGGCTCAGAGCCAACGCAGGAAGAGAGAGAAGCCCTAAAACCTCTCATGAAGACCCTGAGCTAAAAGGGAATGGGGGGCAGCTGTGCCATCACCAGGACCTGAACTCTCTTAGGAGCTCCCCATTTGCCTGCTGTGTCCCCACGCCTCCTGAACCCTTCTCCTGCCCTGTGGGTTCATTAGAATCCCCGAATTCTTCCTCTTTTTTTTTTTTTTTTGTGGGAAAACATTCCGTTTTTTGGGGGGGGGAAACATTCCCTTTTTGGGAAACCCATCTGGCTCTGAGGGTTTAACCTCAGAGATGAACGCAGCAGTGCTTCCCGCACACCCCTCTCTGACCCAATTACTGCACAGGGTTAATCAACCCATGCAGAAAACTCCAGCTGAAGGCAACGAGCAGGGCACCAACCCCGGGCTCCCAGCTCAATATCCCTCCTCCTGGCTGCTCCCCATGCACACAGTGATACTCCCTGCCTACATCAACCCGAGGGGACTCTGTGTTATCTGGCAAGTGGCTCATCCCTGTGTCACCGGGCAGACTCAGTGTCCCCTCCTGCCACCCCCAGAACCCGCTGTGCTGCCTCACCCCGCTGCTTCTGGGGCTGGATGAGCCCTGCTGGCCCCACGAGGTCACCCCGGCCCTATTTGCTGCTCCACTTCCCTTCGTGTCACTTCTTGCTTTCTATTTGGCAAGGGCTTTGTATTTAGGATGCCGGTCTTCTTCCCCAGTGACCTCCATGAATTTGGTTTTAATGCATCACCAAGTGTGCCCAAACCCCACGTTCTGACCTTTGGGAAGACCCCAAAACCAACAAGTGAAGATCCCCTGGGATAAGACACACGACGCCCAAGACGCAGAGCTGCCAATGTCCCCACCATAACATCTATGGCCAATGCTTCTCCTCTACAACCACCACCAATCCCATCACGGCCCCAAAAGGCTCCAGCCCCGATGCTCCCATCCCATGCGTATTTCCCCACGCATCCCAGCCCTGCTGGACCAACTCCTCCACACCCCATCGCACACTGAGATGAGCCAGCAGCTCACAGGTTGGAAAAGACCACCAAGTCCAACCCCAACCCATCCCACCACCCCCACCAACCACATCCCCCAGTGCCACACCTCCACGGCTCTTCAGCACCCCCACGGATGGGGTGACCCTCCTTGTCCAGGAACCCCCATTATCTCCAGGCTGTTTCCAGCCCCACATTCTCCCTCCTAATCAGCTTTGCTCATAGTTCCCCTCAGCTTTGCAGCTTAGCCCTTTGCAGCCACCAGGTGCATCTGCACGTAGCGAGGGGGAGGAGGTGGCAGCTCCTGGGTGCTTGCAGCCATCGCTCCCACCTCTTGTTTACAAGGTTTGGGGAAGCACTCCCAGCGGGATGCAGTGTCTGGGTTTCAAACGGGGGGCTGACAGAAGTCAGATGGCCCCAGGGAGGGAAGCCAAGAGCTGGTTGTGGGGAGCAGAGGGGACCTGGGTGTCCCCAAACTGAACCAAATGCATTAAGGGTTAGGGTCAGTTCCTAGCAGTAGGGTCTAGGGCCAAGGGCTAGGGTCTAGGATAGGGGTGGGGTCTATAGGGTAAGGTCTAAAGGGTAGAGTTTAGGATCTAGGGTTGAGGTCTACAGGTTGGGTCTGGGGTTGAGGTCTACAGGTTGGGTCTGGGGTTGAGGTCTACAGGTTGGGTCTGGGGTTAGGGTTTAGGGTCTACAGGTAGGGTTTAGGGTCTACAGGTAGGGTTTAGGGTCTACAGGTAGGGTTTAGGGTCTACAGGTAGAGCCTACAGGTAGGGTCTAGAAGCTAAGGTCTAAGGTTGGGGTCTACAGGTAGGGTCTAGGGGTTAGGTTTTAGAGTCTGCATGTAGGGTTTAGGGTCTATGGGTAGGGCTTATAGCCAGGGGCTAGGGTTGGGGTCTATGGGTAGAGGTCTAGAGTTAGGTTTTAGGGACTACGGGTAGGGTTCAGAGTCTATGGGTAGGGTTTAGGGTCTAGGGTTGGGATCTATGGGTAGGGTCTAGAGTTGGAGTCTATGGGTAGGGTCTATAGGTAGAGTCTAGGGATTAGGGTTTGGGGTCTACGGGTAGGGTTTGGGGTCTACGGGTAGGGTGGCTGCTTGCATGAGGGATGGAAGCCGCTCGTCCCCAGCCTTCCCCTGGCAGCCCCGCAGCTGGAGCCCTTCGGCCACCACGGGGCAGAGCACACCGCGCTGCGCTCCCCCGACCCCCAATCCCCGAGTCTGCCTAAGCGGGCAGCTCTCAGCCCCTTTCCTTCGGAGCAGCAAAGCAAGCGAGGAAAGCACCGCGCGCCCCAGCAAATAACACCTTCGGAGCTGCACTCCGTGCCCCGCGATCCCGTTCTTCTCCGCCCCTTTTCCCCCAGCGAAGCGGCACAAGTCGAGCGCCCGTCCTGCTCGGTGCAAACCGACGCGCTCTCCTTAATTAATTCTCCCCTACCATAAATTACGAGGCTCCCCGAGGCCGTACCCAGCAAACCGCCGCGGTCCCACAAGCAGCGGAGCAAACAACTCCGCGAGCGAGCGACGGCAACCTCGGGAGGTGGTGCTGGTGGTGGTGCTGGTGGTGGGGGGGGGGGGGGGGGGGGGGGGGGGGGGGGGGGGGACACGAACCACCCACAACAGCCCCATAGCAGCCCCCCGGACCCGGGCTCGGGGATGCTCTACTCTCCCCACTTCGCAGCAAAAAACAAAGTTTCCTTTTCTCGCCGGGTATCGATGCTTTGCGGGAAGCTCGCTGCCCCAAATGGGTTACGGGGTCGGGGAAGTAAAGAAGGGGGGGGGAAAGCAGCCAACACACCCCCTCCTCACACTCCCTCCCTTCCCGACCCCAACACGTACCCAGCGCCAGCACGGCCGCCTCTCCCGGCATTCTGGTGGCGGTGGCGGCGGTGTTGGCGGCGGAGGTTGGCGGTGCGCAGCGCCCAGTGCGGCCGAGGGGCCGGGCTCCGCGCCGGCGGAAATGGGCGCGGATTCCCCGCCGGCCCCGGGGCGGAGCTACGCGGCCCCCGGCCCCGCGGTGCCCGGTTCCGAGCTCCCCCCGACGGCAGCGTTCGGTGCGCTCTGTCCCGTTTCGTTCGGCGGATCGTTCCTTTCGTTATGGGGTGGGAGGTGGGGAAATGGGGAGGGGAGGTGGTGGTGGCGGTGGGGGAAGGTTTGAACCGGTCCTTCCCTCCTTGCCCCTATCTGCTCCATCGCGCTGCCGGATTGCTTCACCGACCGCAAAGTGCATTCCTGCAGCTGCTGCTGGCCGCCGGCCCACGCCCCTTCCTCCCCGCTGCGAATCTCACCTCGGTGATCCAAGCCTTTGTCATCCTTAAATCAGTGGGGCCGCGGACGAGGCCACCTGGGAGCCCGGGGGAGGGCAGAGAGATGGGAACGTGGCCCCCACTCCCACCTCTGCCTCCTCCCCTCCCCCCAACTCCGTCACTGAAGTCCCCCTGGTGGCAAACGTGGCCCCTCGGAGAGCTGTCCCCAGGTGCTGTGACAAATGGGGCTGGTCTGGTGGTGTGGGGGGGACACACGTGGGGGATCCTTTGGGAACACCCCTTGGGGACCCTTAGGGGACACCCTCTGGCAGCTTTGGGGACAGCCTTTGGGGACACTTGGGGGATGCTCTTTGAGAACACCTTGGGGACAATATTTGGGATGCTTTGGGAACACTCCTTGGGGACCCTCTGCGGACAGCCAGCCTTTGGGAATACCTTGAGGAGGCTCTTTGGGGACCCTTTGGGGGCACCCTTTGTGGACCCTTGGGGGACACTCTTTGGGAACACCTTGGGGGCAATATTTGGGGACACTCTGGGGACACCCTTTGGGAAAACCCCCTGGGGACCCTTTGGGGACACTTTGGGATTAACCAGCCTTGGGGAACACAACAGGGAGGCTGTTTGGGCACCCTCTGATAATACCTTGGGAACATCTCTTGGGGACCCTTTGCGGACATCCTTTGGAGACCCTTTAGGGACTTTGGGGATGCTCTTTGGAGACCCTTTGGGAACACAGTTTGAGAACATCTTGGGAACACCCCTTGGGGCTGCTTTGGGAACACACTTTGGAGACACCTTGGGGATCCTTTGGGGCCCCTTTGGGTATACACTTTGGGGACACTGTGGGCACCCTTTGGGGACCCTTTGGGAACACCTTTTGAGGACACTCTTTTGGAACACCTTGGGGACCTTTGGGGACACCCTTTAGGAACATCTTGGGCACACCCTTTGGGCACACCTTGGGGACCCTTTGGGCACACCTTTTGGGCACACCTTGGGGACCCCCCGCACGGGGCTGGTGCCGCAGGAGCACCCTGCAGCCACACGGCAGCCCGGGAGCTGCTCCCAGCCTTGTGGTTTGAGCAGAGCCGAAACTTCCAGGCGTTCCCAGGCGATACCATCTGCTCTTAGCACTTGAAAGCAGCTCCACCGCACAAATGAGGGGCTGGGAAAGCCTTGTTCCCAACGCTGCTGATCCCAAATACCTGACACCAAGTCACAGCCAGAGCTGTTCAGCGCAGCAGTCACCGAGTTCCCCAAATCCCACTTTTTCAGCCCGGCCCAGCCGTGCTGTTCCCTTCACACTCACCTTTCTCTCCTCCCGCATGCGGAGAGCCCCGATATTTGTTTGTAAATAGATGCTTCCTCCTTTGCAATATTCCTCCCACTCCTGGCGTGAATCACTCGTGGAAGCAGCTGCTGCCTCCGCGAAAACTGGAATTATGGCAATTTGGGGTGAATCAGGGCAGGTGATGGGTCAGGGGCGGGGAAGGAGTACAGTGGGGCCGGGTAACGTGGAGGGGAATGCTCTCTAGAGAAGGAGTGGGCAGGCCACCATAAGGGAGGCACAATCTTTTCTCCATATGTGAGAATGCTCTGCAAAAGAGCAGCGGGATCACTGGGCAAAGAAATTTGGCTTGGAGTCGCACGCCAGCTGGGTGATGGGAGAATGCTGCTTAAAAGGAAGAAATTCCATTGTTTTTTGTGCTCCCCTTTTCGCTCTCATCGGTTCCCCCTGAGCACCGTTGAAGAGAAGGAGTGATCCTACAAAGCAAAGCAAACTGGCATTGGGGCTGCAGATCCAGGGCTGTTACTGCCTCGGCTGCAGTGCGCAATGCACGTTTCCATGCTCTTCCCACTGTTAGAAAACCACAAAAACAATTCTTGAATTGTTCCTCCCAGATGCTGGCAAGGTGCTTCTCATCCTTCGCAAATTGCTCTTTGTCCGCTGCTCCTTCTGGGGGATGAGATGAAATGGGTATCTGTTGGCTCTGAGTGGGGTTGGGGGGCAGATTCTGCCTTGCGAAGCTGCAAACTGAGTGCAGTGCTCTGCTTGACCAAACTGCCCCATTTAAGGCAAAAGCCCTGAGAAAGGGTGAGTAAAAAAACCTTGTTTTTCACTGAGTTGGGAGGATGTGATTTTTAATTATTATTTTTTGGTAAGATTATTTTTCCTTTTGCCTTGCAGGCAGTTACCAAGGCTGGAGGGCAATGGTTGGGGAGAAACCCAAGCAATAGCACAGCATGGATGGGGCACCTCCGGGGCTCTTTGTGGTCACTTTTGGAGACCCTTTGGGAAAACACCCTTTGGGAACATCTTGAGAACATCCTTTGGGAACATCCTTTGGAGATCCTTTGGGAACGTCTTGGGAACATTCTTTTGTGACCCCTTGAGAGCCCTTTGGGAACACTTTGGGGACCTTTGGGTGAACACTCTTTGGGAACACTCTGGGGACACTCTTTGGGGACCTCTGACACTTTGGGAACACCCTGGAGACACTCTTTGGGCATCCTTTGGAAGACTCTTTGGGGACCCCTTGGGAAATCTTTGGGAATAACCTGGGGACACTCTTTGGGCACCCTTTGGGAACGCTTTTTGGGGACCCCTTGGGCACCTTTTGGAACATTCTTTGGGGAACCCTTTGGGAACCCGTTGGGGACCCCCATTCATGGCTGGTGCCAACAGGAGCACCCAGAAGCCATCAACCACAGCAAAATGTATCCAATACCCAGAGCAGGGAGCACCCAAACCTCACTCACATCCCTGAGAGTTGAGGGGAACTCTGCTGGCTTCGGAGGAACCGCTTGGCAACGTGGGGCCATCTCCGCCACAGAGATGCCTTTAATCTCTGCTTAAAACATTCTGACGTGGCGGGGAAAAAGGAAAAGCAAAAGCCCATCGATATCCTGCCCTGAAGCAGCTTGCAACAAGGGGGCTGTGTGCTTGTGTCCTGCATAAAAGGCTCCGTCCTCCTGTTTGTTTTGGAGGGGAACGTGAAAATTGGGCACACGGCGCTCCTCGCGCCCTCCGCCCCCCTCACCCCATTCCTTGCACAAACCCAAATTGTAGCTGCTGGGCTGGTTTTGGCTGCTGCTTTGAAGGCAGAAATCAATCAGGCAGCCAGCAACCGTCCCCCCCTGTTTATTTTCTTTCTGCACGGGGCTGGGAGAAATTAAACATTGCGCCCAAGGTCAGCGCCACAGCATTGGTTGCATGGGAGCTCCCATTCCCCTCCTGCACCCACCCTGCAGTGTGCACCCCTTCTGTCATCCCCCATCTCAAATTTTGCCCCTCTGACATTTCCTCCTGCAAAAACAAAAAGCAAAAAAGCAAAAAAAAAACGGGGCCTTATTGCATTTTTTTTTTTCCTGGCTTTATCTTGCAGCAACCGGTTCTGTTTTTCTGCTGGCTTAAAGGGCTCTTTCATAGCTGCTATTTTCCCCCGTGAATGTACATTTCATTCAAGTCCTTTTTTTTTTTTTCCCTTCCCATTTTTTTTTTTTTTTCCTAAATAACTTCTTGGGGTTTTGTTCCTCCCCAGACATTTTCTTTAGCTCCCCTAATGATGTTTGGGGACCTTCTTTGCACAAAGGCTCTATAAATATAGGATTTTTCACCTAGTTCCAACCCAGCCCTTCTCGCGGCCACTAAAAGGCCTTTGTTGGCTGCACCAGCAGAGCTGGCACCTCGCAGCCTAAAGTCAACAGCGCAATGAGCACTCAGAGCTCCTATTCTATCGGTGTATTTTCAGCCAGCGGGCGCAGGGCTGGGAGAAGGTGCAGCAAAACCCCTCCATGGGTGCAAACGTGGAAGGAGAAGGGCTGGTGGCAGGTCCCTACGCCAGGTGCTTTGGCTGCTGTAGGGTTTTGGGATCCCCGTGACCGCTGTGGTCACTGCTGGGACATAGGGGGCATTGAGGCGAGTCGCTGCCTGGCGCTCGTGCTGCACGTTGGGCCGTGCCCTTAAAAATCCTGAGGTTTTGGGTGGTTTTATTCACCTGTGTGGGGTTATCCCATGGGCTGTGAGCGGGGCAGGAGGGGTCTGGGAGGGGGTTTTGTTGTTGGAGCAGCACCCAAAGTGCCGACGGGACACTGCTGCAGCGGCGCTCAGTGAGACTTGCAGGCTCTGGAGGCCTCCCCGTGCCCTTTGTCCTCTTCCAGGGTAAACAGAGCTCAGTGCCCATTGGGGGAAAGCGAGCGGAGGAACTGGGACCTGCAGCAAACAGGAGCCTTCCGTCCCCAGGCCACCACCCTGCCAGGCACGGCTGCACAGCACATGCCCCAACTCGATGCATTTGCCCTGGTTCCGCTTTGTTTCTCCCTCGGCTGCATTGTGCAGAGAGCTGAGTCAGCAGGACCCCCCCCACACCCCTCCCCTGTGCGGCACCTCTGTGCCAACAAACCCACGAGGGAAGAGGGGGGGGGTGGGGGGGGGACGTGGGAACGCAGTCCCATAGAGGAGCAGCCCGGGGGGGAGGCTGCGAGCGCTGCGCCCACGGCGCTGACTCAGCCCCTCTTGGGAGGAGGAGATGAAGGCGAAGGATGGCAGTGGGGACACCGTGACTCAACCATCTGGAATGGCAGGAATTCTTCCCGCTGGCCCTACCTGCCCGGGGAACTGGCACACAGGTAGAACTGGTCCAGTTGTTCTCCTCTGGGATGGGAGACCCCGCGGGGGATCGGATGCTCCTGAGCTCCGTGGGC